TCATCTTTTGGCTGATGAATAGAACTGATAGTTAGGGGGGTGGACTATACTACTAAAATTAGCCATAGTAGCACCTCCCATGTACATCAATCAAGTTGGTTGGTCTTAGGGAAACTTGTATAGATTCTTGTAAATTAAATTTCAGTATAGACATTTTCCAAGTCTACATAGACAAATTAGATTGTATTTTCTAATTGTTACTGCCAGGGACTGAACAGAATTTCTTTCTTTTTTCTGACCTACTATTTGCTTTTTAAAATAAAATATTATAATATAAATATTAAATATGTATATTAATAAATATAATTAAATAAATATTTATAAATATATATATTTAAGAGTTGTTTTAGCTCTAGAGCATTGAACATTGAAGATTGCTATTTAAACTGAGAACTAGCTGAGACACAAGTTAAGTCAGTTTGGATCAGAGGTCAGGAACTGGGGGAGCCCTGGGATACCTCTGTAAGCCTGGGAATGAACTACACTTGGAGCCCAGAGGTTTTGGCTATGGAGAGCTGTTTGACACAGGAGGCCCAGCAATGTTTACCCACTCTCAATCTGTTTGCAAAACAAAGTGTAGGGAGGATACCATGAGGAATGAGGAGAGGAAGAGAAAGAGTATTACTAAAAACAATGCCAGACTTGGAATTTTGTCCAGGGAAGTTAATGTTCATGTGCATAAACAACATTGAATATCTATTAGGTGGTTGGTTAGAGGTCACAAAATGATCTTGTGAACTACATTGGACTAGAATTTAGGTTTTTTTTTCTTAATGATTAAAAAAATAGTAATGTCTAAACATTAAAAAATGAACATTCAAAAACTGAGAAATTCAAATTACAGTTTGTATTTATAGTCTCTCTGGACATCAAGCAGCCCTTGACCATCATCCCCACGTGGTAGTGATAGGTGCTGAGTGGCCTGTTTAGACAGAGCATGGGTGATGCTCATTTATGTTCTTTATCTGTCCTGTGTCAACATTGGAATTTACTTACTTCAATGCTAAGTGCTTTTAATATATTACCTAATTTAACTCTCATTCATAATCTAGTGATGGTGATATCATTCTTATTTCATGCATGAGCAAACTGAGACTCAAGATATATTAAATACCTTGACTAGAAAGTTAGGAAGTAGCAGAATTAGGATTTGAATTCAGGATGGCAAACTCTGAAATGCTCTTTCTGGTTTATATATCTATATCTATATCTGGTATATATAATCTATAAAGGATATACATATATATATGTATATCCTTTACTATAAATTTTCATAATTGCTTGTAGTAAATCTCAATTTTGTTTTTTAAATTTTTTCTTTTTATATTTAAAATTGGGCTATTCTAAAGCTGTATGTATTAGACTTCTACTGCTGCTGTAACAAATTGCCACACATTTAATGGCTTAAAATAACACAACTTTCTTTTCTTTTAGCTCTGAAAGTCAGAAGTCCAAAATGCACCCTGTGTTCCTTCTGGAAACTTCAGGAGAGATTCCATTTCTCTATCTTTTCTGGCTTCTAGAGGTTACTTGTCTTGCTCCATTTGTAGCCCTTTCTTTCACCCCTAGAATGCATGGATCCAACTCATGCTTTCATTGTTCCATCTCTTTCTTCTGCCTTTGGCCCTCTTGTTTTTCTTTCATAAGGAGACTTAATTATACTGAGATACCTTGAAAACCCAGGATAATCTTCCCATCTCAGGAACCTTAATAACATAAGAAAAAATTTCCATCCAAAGTAACAGATTAATAGGTTTGGGGGACTAGAATATGGTTTTTGGGTGGCTATTAGTAAGTCTACCACAGCACACTTGTATAAGCTCTCAACTTTGCCCCCTTTTCACATGAATCAGTTCACTTTAACACATTATAGACCTTTATTAGGTAAATCATTTATATATTCTTAAAGGGTACCAAAATGTTTGTTTAAAGAAGCATTTAAGGTAATATTCATGAAGTAGAAGCCTAAGAAAGATAATTGCAATCCAAAGAGGACATTAGTAAGTTATCTTTATTTGAATCCAAAATGTGTTGCGTTCTTCATTTCCATGGCAGATATAAATTAACCATGCTCTGAAGAAGATAAGAGTTCTATAATCAGAAATCCACATCTGCAGATTTTGTGACATTGCACCTGCATGTTTTGAAGCGAAGAACATAAAAATACCAAGCAATATATCAGAAGCTATCTTTAAACACTAATAATTTTGCTTTTTCAAGACAAAATATCTTAAATATAACTTATTCCTCTTACAGTCTTTCAAGATATGCGAAGTCTGCAGATTAAAAAGAAAAAAAATGATCTTTCCCTCTCACTCAAATAGCTCCTCTGTCAAATGAAAATTTCACAAAAGAGATTTTATTACCAGCTATGAAAAATTTAAGCTTACAAATACACTTTGAAAAAGTGTAACAAGGATCAGAATAAACTTGTCATCCCAGAGATGTGATCCTTAGTCTTAAGCTATTTTGTATTTTTCTGTGTGAAGAACTGTAATTTTGAAAGCATCACTTTTATTAACTCACAATAAACCAGAATTGTAGTTTAATTATCTCAATAATTCTGTGTGTGTGTGTTTTTTTTTTTGCTTCCCTTGACTCAGATCTGTAGTGTTTTTTCCTCAATACTTCTGTTTGTTAATCGCATTTCAGTGTATGTAATGAAGAATGTTGTGTGATCTACAGAAGGGTCTTCATCCCCTTTGAAAATATTTTGAGAATTGAAGAATGCATTGTCTTTAGTTGTTGATAAAGAAAAGCAAATCCACACTTTCACTCTATCCTCTTACTATTTGAGGAGTTACTTTATGTGGGGTTTTCTTTTTAAACAGAGATGGAGCTTATGATTCTTACATGCTTTCCTCTTTCATTGACACGTCATACTAAATATTTTAAATCAGATCATCTAAGAATTCAACAGCCACAGTTAAGCCATCAATAAGGAAGTAATTTGACATTGCATTCATATTGAAAAGCATAATACAGTATTTCCTTTTTTAAACTTAAATTTCCTTCTCAGGTAAATGAATGCTAACTATTATTATGAGATACTGCCTTCCTGTTTTTTTGGCTGAGATGAAAGTACAGAAGAAAGTTAGTATAAAAATATCTAATCTGTAGAAGAACAAGAAAGTATTCTTTATATTCTAATGTGTATAATAATACAGAACATCAAAAGAAGTATATAAATAAATAAACTCAAGGAAACTAAAATGAATTTTTTTCCTTAGTTGTTTTGTTTAAAAAGTATATTGCTAAATGTAGACAAAGATGAGTTATAAAATTAATTTGAAAAAAATCAATGTCTTTATAATGTTATAAAGATGTTCCTACTGGGAATATCTTATTTCCTTCCAATGATTTAAGTTTACCATTTATCTGTCAAATTTGGTTGTTTTCTTCATATACATTCTTTTCTCTTAAATAGGAACAGTTACATTTAATTTAGTGGGGCCATTTTTTCAGAGTACTGCTTTTGATTGAGGGGATATTGCTTGACAGGAATGAAATTATTTACAACCTTTCTTGTGATTCGTTCCTTTTTTTTTTTAAATTTATTTCTATGTTTATCTACTTATTTAGTGGTGCTGGAGGTTGAACCCAGGGCATTGTTCATGCTAGGCAAGTGCTCTACCACAGAGCTACACCCCCTGTCTTGTGATTCATTTCTTTATTTACAATCTTGCTTGTAATTTTATGTATTTCTTATTTTTTTCTTCTTAGAGATAAGAAGTTTTGACTAATAAAAACTGAATTATGCTTTAGTTCAAATATTTGTTTTAAGCACAAATAGAAAGTCATTAAAAACCATTATACACAGGAGTTGTCTAGTGGATGAAAAACAAAACATTTGTTCTAGTTTAATGGCAATAATTTTATGTCTTCACATTTCTCAATGGCATTTTCTGTTCTAGTGATTCTATCATTTTGGAATTTTCTTAGTTAGAATGTACTATTTACATGTGAGAGAAGTAGAAAGGGCTAGAAAGAAGTGCTGAGATTAGTTTGCATTAGGACTTTACAGTCAGGTAAAAGGATTTAGACTTTGTCATATGTACAGCATGGAGGCACTTAAGGTTCTCGAGTGGAGGTATGGGGTCAAACTCCTGGCTAATGGAAAGTAATATATAAATAATGTATACTATTTATCCAGTACTGGGCTGGATAAAAAGGGGAGACATTGAGTAAAATAAAGTCCTAAGTAGAAATGACCAGTTAGCTTAGGAGTGGTGTAGGCGTGTAAGGCCTAAACCAGGATGGGATTGCTAAGGAAGCAAGTGGATTTGAGGGTCATTATGAAAGGCGATTTGGTGACTATTCCCCTTACAGGACTCCTAGGTAGAAGAATGGAACATGAGTGAGAATGGAAGATTTTAAAAATATTAGTACCAGAAAAGGAAGTAAACCAGGAGAAGGAGCTTATTTGAATGAGAAGATAAGGAATTCAATTTTAAATATGCTTTCTTTAGGATCATAGAGGTATTTATGGAAAATATTGGACTAGGTTTTAAAAAAAAATTGCTCTGATATGAATTCAGAATTATTCACATAGAGATGAGATTTCTAACATAGAGAACTGATGAGTGATAGGAGCAGAAGTGTGAGCACTGAACCTTTCAACATGCACAACCACATCTGCTTTAATGTCTTTATAACCCTTATCATTGCCTGAAATTACATTGTTTATGATGTGCTTGTTCGTCTATGATCAATTTCATTTTCTCTAGAATACAAGTTCCATGTTAGCACAGACTTGATCTATATTATACACCACCACATCACCAGTGAACGGAATGGCACCTTTTCACGCTAGGCCATAAAAAAGCATCCAGTGAATGCATGGATGAATGACTGAATGAAGAAATAACAATTTTGTGACTATTTAGCTCTTCAACCCTAGATAATTTACCTGGTCAAGGACAAATGTTTCATCACAACTCGTTTCAGGAAAATATGCATTTCACTGTTTTTTTTTTTTTTCCTATAGATTGCATTCTGACCTTGTGTTTTGATGTGTGGCTCTTCAGATGTGATTGGAGTCCTCTTAGTTTTCAGAGACATTTCTTCACTTTTGTTTTCTTCCTTTAAGAAACAAAATAGAGATTATAATTGAATAATTTACATAAAAATGAAGTTGAATGTAAGATGTAACACTTTCTTCTTTCAATTATCAATTTACTCTTTAAAATTTACCATTTTCTTATAACATACTAAAAGTAATGTTTCTTGCACTTAAATGGAGATGCTTGGCCTGAGTTTTGAGTAATCAACTTTGACCCCCACAGTGTTTTTGGCTTGGAAACTCTGATTTTTGTCAGTGTCTCCCTGGCTCATGTTCCTCCCAATCCTGGTCTTCACTTCACACAACCCTAGTGTTGGTCCCAGTTAAGGTCTTCAGTGGTAGAGTTTAAAATGGTGGAGAGAAGAAGCTGGTTTCATTCCTTCATTTATAACTCTCTGTCTTCCCTTTATGATTTCATTTTGCCTCTACCTCAACATTTGTCTGAGCATCTAAGATTTTCTTTGAACTGTAGTTAGGTCACACTGAATATGGTCATATTTGTCTGAGAAACAGAGTGAAATATCAACTCAAAGCACAGAAAGGTTAGATCTCAAACTTTGTGTTGCCTGGTAGGGGAAAACAAAAACAGGAAAGTGCAATAAAATGTAGGTGATAAGATGATACCTGATGAGGACAGAAATACATAAAAAATAGAGTGGTCAATTCTAATGGAGTAAAAGGGTAAGGAAGCAGAAAGTTAAGTAGTCACTGATTTTATGAAGATGAGTTTTTTTTTTTCAGGTGGACAAGACATGGAACACATATATTTTAGGTAGATGTGTTGTTAATGTAGAGGGTGGAGAGATATTATAGTGGAAGTGTTTCAACTAGGAAAAGTGTGAGATTTTGGGGTTAGAAAGTCAGCAGGGACAAGGATCCTGATATTCTTGTATGCTGATATGTAGTTCTTGATATTTTTATGTCATAAAAATATTTTAAGCTGAAAAGTAAATTAATCAAATGATTTAAGTCTCACAGTAACCATATGTAGTAGTCAAGACAGCCATTGTTATTATGATGGTTTTCAATAGAAAACTGAGTTGCTAGTTCATATGAATGTGGCTAGAAGGCAAGAATCCAGGAGAACTTATGAATAATGACAAAACCTTTTGACTTCAATCAAGTACTTTTGCACCATGTTAGGATGTTATTCAAAAACAATTCTGTCATAGTTTTTATATGTTGTATAAATGTAGATTTATGTGAAAATTGGCTTTTTATTAAGTAAGAGAGTTTGTATTAGTCTCTCATTTGCAGTTCTTTTATTATTGGTTATTGGTAAGTAGGAATTACTTATGATCTTTTGGTTTATGAATGAACTTTTTACCTGACACTTTAAAAACAGTATAATTGATTTATTTATTCTTAGATATCTCCTTAAATGAGTCAAATAATCTATTTATTTGAGACTTATTGTTTAAATGCCATTTTAAAAGGTTATATTTTATGGGAAAAAATAGGGTTCTAACTTTCTGTCATTTGTAACATTTAGCATACTTAAAATGGAAAAAAAAACCTATTTTTCCTATACCCACATGGTCTTTGAAAGAACTGATGCACATAATTTCCAAATATGGCTTCGGATAAAATGTGATGCCAGTAGTCTTTATGATTAACACCCTGAAATTATGGCTGTCAGGATGGCAGGGGATATATCTACTTAAGAATTGTTCTACCTGAGCCTCGTTTAAGAACTTCAGCATTACTGTTCCTAAAGGAAGGACCACTCTTTAGAAAGTTTCTGCTCATTTTACCTTCTCTCTAACACCTCTTGCTCCTGTAGTCAGAGTATCTGGAAAGGCTCCTCTGACATCCTCTGTTCTGAGGCAGTAGCCTGGTGATTTAGCTTTCAAGTACTAATGTCAGGAAGAACAGGTCTCCTGGCCAGGCTCTGGCATTTTTCAGCTTTTTATAAGCAGTGAATCAAAATGGACCCAAGGCTTTTGTGAGGACTACATACAATCATGCTTGGAAAGGGCTTAGCACATCACTTGGCACATAGTAATTGCTTTTAGCTGTCATGTTGTCTAAGAGAATAATATATTCATTATTTCTGCATGCTCTGTGGGGAAATAATTGTGATAGGCAAGGACTAAACATGAATACAGTTAATATCCTAGAGCAAAACACAGCAAGACTACCCGAAGAAAAATATACCCAGCTCAATATTTGCAACACTCCATGAGTCTATAAACATGCAAGTAATTTTGCATTGTAGGATTATTTTTTTTTGACATAAGAATTAGAAAGAAGCCCGGGCACTCTCATGAAGCAATGCTAACACTTCTCTCCACTGCAAGGAGAGTCAAGGTAATCAGCTAAGGAAGGCAACTATTCAAGGCCAATGTTAAGTAACACAATGTTGTCCCTGCTCCACATTCATTCCCTGAGGTATACCCCTGCTTGTGCTTGATATCTCTAATCCAGCTTTTTGAGATGGTAAATTTTTGGTCTAAAGATCTTAGGTAACTTTAAAGTAAATCAGGAAATTGATTCCAGAGTTAGTTTTGAGCAAACATTTCTCTTATAGTTGTCACTTTGAATTTAAAACTGTCATCAAACCTCAAATTATTAATAATGATAATTATAATTACCACTCAGAAAGTACCTACTGTGTATACCGTCTCTGTTTCTTCTAAGGAGGCTAATAAGCAGTTATTATTATCTCTATTTACAGATAGTCTTAGAATTAAAAAAAATAGTCTATAGAAGGATGGAAATTTTGCACCAGAGAATTCCATGTTGTGGGGGGCTGTTCTGTACATCCTGGGGTGTTTCGTAGCACTTCTGGACTTTTATCTGCTGGATGCTAGTAACATTCCCACTCCTAAAATGTGACAACCGAAAATATCCCAAGACACTATCAAAAGTCCTCTGAGTAGCAACATTGTTCCTTATTGAGAACAAATGTTCTGGGGAATTCATTCATAAAATGAGTTTATTTTTTTAAGATCACATGCTAGACATTCTTTGTTGAAACTAAATCATACAGCATATTTCAATATTTGAGAAATGATTTACTATGATAATGGTAGAAGTGAAACTTGTTAATGGGAAGTCATACTTGGCTTTCCCAAATCCTAATATGATCTCTTAAATGTTTACTATTCTATTTTAAGCCAATATTTATGGAATCCATAAATTACTGAATATATACTCCAAATAGCCAACAACTTGGACAATACAAGTAAAACTGTTAATAATCTTATCTATCACAGCATTTGTTAACTTCTGTTACCAGACAAGAAGTGGTGAGAATCAAGACAAACTTAGGAATGTAAAGAACATACCTGTCCTGGGGATTGCTGGGCCTGATGGCTCGGATGAGAACCGTGCCCTTTCTCATGGTTCTCTTCGGTGGGCTGTACCTTGTTGAATTTTATTCTCAGTGACTTAAACATCTTCTCTGAAGTGGTACTGGAAAACCCTCTGTTTTTATGACCCTGTGTCTTGAGGTAGAGAAATGTACTTTGTTTTTCTTTTCATTAGTAGACAAGCCAATTAGTTGTTTAATCAGGATTTTGTTCTGGTTAATTCCTATAGGCAACTCCCTCGCTTCTCAGAGCTTCGGCTTAAAAGCAGCAAATTACTTCTGCTTGGGCGATTTGCACTCTGTTTATGAACTTTCTAGAATCAAAATGCCCCTGTGAATAATTTATAAGTGGAGGATTAAACACAACTTCATAGTTGATTTGAGTTGTTTAAATGTGATCATGTTGCCCATTGGTTTGTTTTCTTTCTTTCTTATTACTCACCTAGCTAGCTCCATCTAATTTTAAACAAAGTAATACATGCAAATGATTCAAAAACAGGCCGTGCATGAGGTTCTAATATGAAGCAAGTAGTTCACTTCCCTAGTGCTCACCTCTAGTAATATATGAGGTAACTGTCTTAAACATTTTTCCCCCTTATTCTGGTGGTTGATTTTCATGTTGCTGACAACCCTGCTCATTCTACTCTTGTGTATGTGTGTGTGCCAATTTGGACCTTAAAACTCTGAGAGGCACAGGAACAGGATCAGGAATTGTTCAGAGAATCTTTTCTTTCTACTTAGAGCCCCAAACTTTCTTGATGTTCTGTGCTCTTTGACTCTTTTTTGTTTTATAGTATATCAAGATGAACTCCCCCCCCTTAATGAAATCACTTCTCTTGTGCACTTTTAAATTAAAACAAAACCTTTAAGAAATAAGACCACTCTCCACATCCCCCACAACCAGGGCAGCCTGCGTCAATTCAGATGCTTCTTACCCTCTGTATTTTGCCATCTGGGGTTTTGTTTTAGATAACAGTTATGTATTTCAAACTTGTTACAGTTCATATACAAGAAAAAATGAGGTACTTGTGAAGGCATGATTTTCATTTGGTTTTCAAAATTAACAAAATCACATGTCCCTTATCGATTTTAAAAACATATTAGAAGTTTTGATTTTAGATGTAACCATTTTATCTAATAATTAACTTGATTGACTATGGGTTTTAATTTGTATGTCCTAGAAATACAACACTTCTTATTTTTGCTTACCTCTTTTTAAAAAATATTTTTTAGATTGTTGATGGACCTTTATTTTATTTATTAATTTATTTATATGTGGTGCTGAGAATTGAACCCAGTATCTCACACATGCTAGGCAAGTGCCTCTGACACTGATCCACAACCCCAGCCCTTGTTTATCTTTTTTTTTTTTAAAGAATTCTCTTTGTTTCAAAAGCCAGAAATTTCTTTTTAGTTTTATTATTCCTTTGAAAGGAATTCTGAATAAAATATCAAATACATATGAGATCGTTTTAGGAACTTGTCGGATAATCCCCTAATCCTCAAATTGATTGCATTTTGAATTTAAAAAGTAAACATCAAAGCCAAGTTATGAGAAAGGAAGGTGTTAACGTCAGGCTTCTGGCTAATTCTCTCTGTGTCTGGGACTCCCAATAGAAGAAATGACCTCACCAGACCCTCTTATAAACCTTCTCATTGTACTTAGAAATACACAGGGAGTCCCTATCTATAAGATACATTTACCAGGACGGTTCTGGTCTGCCTAGATTGTTCGTTGTAAGTAAGTCTCTGTGTGTGGATTTATCTGGCTGTGACTGGCTGGAGAATATAGTAGGTAAGCTTTGTAAGGGTTACGAAATGGAGATATCCCCAAACAGAACTTTTTGTGAGAAATACTTGAAAACTCTAGGTAAATCCGGAACTAAACATATGCCAAATACAGGAGAAATGAATGGTTTTGGATGCTGTGTTTGACAGTTTTGGGTTTTTTCCTAATGAGGATGTTTTGTGTTTGCCCGATGATGACCTGTATTCATGGAATCGTTAATGAAGTTTGGTGCTAAGACAGACCTATGATTCAGGAGTCTGTTTTGATAATTCAACCCTTAGGATTATCACAGGTCGGAATAAAAGTGATGAGGATATTTTTTTAAGTATCTCTTGAAATGACTTACAATGCCACCAACAACCTGATTTTTTGTTAGCCAAGTGTACTAACATTGGCATTAGAATTATAGATGAGTACTTTCACTTTATTTAGGTAAGGTTTCTCAAAGCTCAGAAAATATGTGATTGTAAAGAATCCTAAAATGAAGGACGTGCATTTTGGTAATTACTGTTCACTGGAGTAGATGTGTGAGCTGAGGCAGGAGTCTTGCCTTAATCTGGAAATGACAAAATAATATTTAAGTTTCTTCTGTGAATGTTGCGCTTTTGTGTTCTGCAGAGGAATTCACATCTAGCAAGGGAAAGGAAGAGGGGATGCTTGATCTGGATGAAGTGGCTTTCTGGGTTTTCACCCATAGCAATCTACATTTTTTTAAAAAAACATTTTATTGCAGCTATAGATGGACAGCATGCCTCTATTTTATTTGTTCACTTTTATGTGGTGCTAAGGATCGAACCCAGGGCTTCACTTGTGCAAGGTAATTGCTCTGCCACTGAGCTACAGCCCCAGCCCAGCAATCTACATTTTTGTACAAGTTGCTTCAGTGGAGAAGTAGTGTATGCCAACATGAATAAAAGCAGTTGTTTGTTGTTTTCAATGCAAACTTGACCCCACACCTTAAAAACAAACAAACAAACAAACAAACAAACAAACAAAACCCTAGCCACTCCTCATGCCCTAAGGCATAATGTCTAAACAGTTTGTCAGGACATTCTGGGCCGGTACTATTGACTCTTGCCCAACTCTCTGGATTCATACGTAATCCCTATCTTGAACTCTGGGTATCTACCATAAGAAATCAAGGCAAGTTACCTACACTGCTTTTGCTTACTTCTATCTGTGTCTTGGCTCATATGTACAATTCCCTTGCTTAAAATTTTGTTCTTGTCTGTCTGGATCAAGCTAGATGTTTCCTTCTCCTGTCTCCTTTACCAGTGACAAGCAGATGTACCATCCTTTCCTTGTTTTCCTTAATGTCATTGTGCCACACAGAGACCTCTACTTCCTCATTTCTCATTTGACAAACATTTGCAGACCTCTATTTCCTCCCAGAGTGTAAGCTTCTTCAGGGGGAGGCTGTGCTCTGTTCACCTTCAGATCCCTTGTGCTTGGCCCAAATCTTTGCTTATTCTGGATACTCTGGAATGTTTGTTGAGTGAATGATCAGAGAATGCTGGTTTAGAGTATCTCTCAACTATGGATCAAGAATAGAGTTCTCTATGACCGATGTAGGGTGTAAGAACTAGAGAAAATGTAGAAGGAACACAGGTGCTATGTCCTCATTGTCTTTTTTTAGTAGTCATTGCTGGAAAGACTTTGTCTTGGGCTAAGTTTGGGGTAGGCTGAGAGAAGCTTACTTAAAATATTGCTGTGTTTCACAAGAAATGGTGTATTAGATACCATTAGATGATACAAAAATAGCACATAGTCATATGATATAGAAAATACAAATTAGAAGGTACTAAAACTATGATAAAATAAAAAGAATTACAACCTTTAGTGAAGAATACTATATTTTTATTCTGACAAGTTATTTAGTTTCAGCACAGAACTATGCATTATATTTATATTGTATTAATCTTATATATTTTGATGTTTTATATTAAATTTATAAATAAGTGTCAGCTTTATAGTGTTATAAAATTGTAATCAAATGAGGTTTCTATATATGTTCCAGGTTTCAACATACTTAAATACCATTCCTATGAAATCAATGCCAGAGGAATAATAATAAGTTTTTATTTAAATGGAGTCAGGTTTGACAAATGCTGTTTTTTGAAGGAATTTTTTACTGATGGGATTTTAGACGTTCCGCTTGCAAGGTGATTTGGGGTGAGAAAAACTTCACTTCCTCAAGTCACGGGAGGACTGCTTCTGGGAGTGGGCATGAGTGGAATATTTCTTCTTCTTTTTTTTTGGGCAGACTATTGGAAACAAACTAAAGTAATGAAACTAACTAAAATTATATTTCCCTCTATATCCTAGAAAGCAACAAGCAATTCTATGAGATCCCTCTGGACTAAGTTCAAATAATATAAATATTATTTCAATGAGAAGAGAAACCAGTGAGTCCAAAGGGAACAACTGGGTTGCCAATGGATGACCCCAGGCATGAACTTGAAGGGAAATACCAGAACCCCCCCTCCCCCGCACAGCCAGCCCTTGACTGTTGTGGTTGCCTATTTTTAGGAGAAGATAATAAACTAATAATATTCCTGAAAAATTCACTCCACTGAATACATTATACTTACTAAGGCAGGAATATAGATGACTAAATTATAAGTTTTTTTTTAAATTCTAAGACTCTAGAAGTAAAAGCACTTACTTCTGTTGTCAGATCTCCTGTGAACCAGGTTTCAACCCTTATCTGTAAAATGGAAGCTAGAATAATAAGCTCTGAAGGGTTTAAACAAGTTAATGAGTAAGATGACACAGAAACATTATCTGGTATAAATTCAGTGCTCAACAAACACTTGTTAATTAATTGAGTGAAATAGAATGTGTTTCTAAAGTTTAAGATACTGTATTTACTAAAGCATGTGATTTTACTCAGCTGTCAACATTTGAGTTCTTCCTGAGTTGAATTCAGGTGCTGGACTGAATGTTGATTTCTATGGGATATATAGAGATGACTGGAACAGGATGCCTGGATTGGGCACAGGAGAGAGAGAAGGAGAGGGAGGGAAGGGGTTGAGGGAGAAGGAGAGAAAGAGGAAATAAACAATCACAATATAACCACAAGGAAGACTGTGAGCAGTCCTATTATTAGTATAGAAGAGCAGGTGACCCAGGGTGTCTCTGTGTGAGTGGACTTTAAAATGGAGAATAAAGCTGTGCTGAGGATTTATTGCTTGTGATAGGTTTTGGAAGGCTGAGGAATTCTCTGAGCATATGGGGAAAGGTAGGGGATTACAGATGTTAGAAAGAGCATCCAGTTAATTAAGGTATTACAGTAAGTAGTAGTTTCTATGGCCTGCACATTTTTCTCAGTGACCCAAAGATTTGTTAAACTACTGTGAATATTAATAATAAATATGAAATGCATACATAATG